TTATAGAACTTGAGCCAAATCCATATGTGTGTGTGTGTGTGTTTGAACCACTAGTTCGACCAGTGAATCAGTATCTAGACCGATTCAATTACCAGTCTGATTTTGAAAACTATGATTTTGCTGTTTAGCAGTGCTTGCTTCAAATTTTATGTATTCATGCCAAAAAAGAGTTCTATATGTATTCAAATTTTATGTATTCACTCTTCTTACCCCGCCTATGTTTTTCAATCAAGTGACCCAACCCCACCCCATACCACACACCCTAGCCCCTTGTTGTCCTTCCCACTCCCTTCCACACTGATTCGCTGTCGTATTTTCAACGTGAAGGGGAGAAGGGTAGCAGAAGGCTAGAAACGAGGGTTATGTGAGGATTTAGAAGGGCTAAGAAAATATGAACCATCAATTTGATTTCTCAACAAATAACTCTTCGATCATGTTGTTGTGTTCAGTCACACTACAAACCTGCCACTATAGTCTAGGGTTGGTTTAATTATGCAAATATTAACTACTAATAGCGCGTAGTAGCTAGTTAAATACCATTTTGTCCCAAATTAATCTTTTTGATCAATTACTATTGCGGCGTTTCGATAACTTATACTTTTATAAATATTTACTTTTATCATTTGATAAAATAAAGTGTTTTGTCACCTTTTCTTTTTATAGAACTTTTGATATAAAAAAATTAACGTCGTAAATATATTTTTGAGTAATTTCTGTGATTGGTACTTTATAACTTGTAAATAAATTTCTATATTTAGTCTTTTAATATCAAATATTACGTTCATGATTCTTCTTTTATGGTTACCTTTCTTCGGATAGTCGCTTTTTTACCTTCGATGTGTCGTGTTGGTGTTAATTTGAGGTTTAAAATTGTAATTACACAATGATCATTTTTTTTCTTGTCATAGCGAATGTGAGAGGTTGTTGTTGATATATCGTTTGTCAACAGGAGACCCTGTTTACTGCAACCATAATCTACAAATGTTGTTTCTACTCGGAATCCTAGTCCACAACAATAGTCGTTATTGGTGTGTTGTCCCTCAAGCCGATATCGTAATATACGTCACTAGACATAGGGTCGATATAAAAATACACTTTTATCCCTCAATTAAAAACAACATGATAGAAGATTTAAAAAGAATTAGTTGTGGAAAAGTATCTATAAAAGAAGTAATACAAACGTAATATTTGATAATTGAAAATTAAATATGGACTAAACATATCTTTTTTGTTTCTCTAGCAATTTATAAATAAATTTATTTTAAAAGAGATGAGATTTTACACATTCATCAAATAGAAAAAAATAATTTAAGACGGAGAGAGTATTAATTAATTATTAAAAATATTGTCAATCAAATGACTAATACTCCCTCCGTTTGGAAAAAGTGTTCCTATTTTGACTTTGTGTAAAAATAAGGAAGTATTAAATTGTAGTTGACTTCCAATTTTGCCCTTAATGTGATAGGTAAAAGTAAATGTGATGGATAGATTATTAGAGAAAAAGTATGATGTGATAGGTAGGGTATGAAAAAGTAAGGGTAAAAGTGGTTTTTTAATAGAAAGTGGAAGTGTTTTGTTGAAAGTGAAAAAAATGAAAGAGGAAGTGTTTTAAAAAACGGAGGGAGTACTAATGGTGATCAAGATATCCTTTGTGGATATACCACTCAAATCTACACCTAAAAATAAAATACGCAGTATCATATCCCTTTGGAAACCATACATATACTGCCATTATTTTCCAGCAAGAACATACATATATGACTTGCCAATAAACAATAATTAATTAGTGATAAATATAAAAATAATAATCATCAATTCGTCGTCTTCTTCAGTTCATCACAGCGTATCTTCACACACATGCAAACTTTAATTCTTAATCATATTTTATTTTCACTTTTTTTATATATATATAAAATATAAAAAAGAAAGGATACATACATATATATATATATATATATATATATATATATATATATATATATATATATATATATATATCTTGGGGAATTATCTCGAAAATAAGTATGATTGGCATTTTGTTGTCGTGTGCTGGTTCGAGATTACGAATTGTAACATCATGGATAGATTTAGAGAATAATATTGGCCACCTTTTGTCCCTCTAATACAACGTTTGTAGGTCTGAGTAAGCTACATTGTCTTTTTCCTATCCCTTCCATTACATACTTACCACATATACATATATACACTCATATGCAATATGTATTTATAGAACATTCTTATAATTAGGTTATGTTCTTTTCGCCTTCACTGATCGTAACTAGTCTCGAGACTTCTAACTCTAAAGTCTCGAAATTGGATTCGATCTTGAGTGTACATATATTAAAAAAAGTATAAATTATAGCCGCACGAATGGTAACAGAAATTTAGAAACTTGTGCATCAGAATATGTTATGAATAGAATTTGAAGTATTGCACTACTTGGAAAGAGTTCTTAATTATATTACAAATGTGGATTATGTATGTATGGTGTTTAATGTACATTCGACATACATATTTAACGTATATATTTACAAGTTATACACTCTTATTTTATGAAGTTACTAAAAATTCACATTTATTTATTTATTTACTTACTTCTTACCGAGACAAGAATTTTAATAAATGGTGTTTAGTAGTCGGACGATTGTTCAACAATAGCACGAATTTCTTGGCAGGAATCACGGATTTTCACACTACATCCGAATTCGTGAACGTGAATTAGTTTAACTTAACTAGACAAAATAGCTAATTACACTACACTAAAATCTTCAAAGATTAATGGGATTTTATATATATATATATATATATATTTTGGTTCAGGTGAGAATGCGATCTTATGAAAGAAATAAGAATGAATCTGGTGCTTTAGATTGTGAGATCTAAGGGTTAGGATTGCATCAAAATTAGGTGCACCAAAATGATTTGAAAATGCATCATGTAGAAATGCACCAAAATCCTTTAAAAATGCACTATTTCAAAATCTGAGTACAGGATGCAATCTGAGCCGCACGATGCATCAGATCCAAAGGCTAGATTTTATTCTTTTTTCTTTTACCAAGGTGCATTCTCACCTGAACCGCCCCTATATATATATATATATATATATATGTATATATATATATATATATATATATATATATATATATATATATATATATATATATATATATATAAAAGGTGTAGCATGCATGAGAAGAAGTGGAGGGTGATAAGATAGAAATGCTTTTTTGACCTATATATAAGTAAGATGGTGACAAACGTACGTGAGGGAGCCCTACAAGTTGAAATGGCGTTTGGTTGTTATGGATTGTGACTCCTACCCATACATACTACATTACTACTCACTCCCAATCGCTCGCTCGCTGGCATTGGAATATTCTCTCTCTCTCCCTCTCTCACCATGTAAATACAAACCATGCTAGATAGTTCTCATATAGAGTGTAGAAAATTATCTTTTCTATTCTTTATATATAAATTTTTTCAGTTTTGACTTTGGTTGGAGTTCCCGCATCAGAAAATAAAGAAAGATATTACTTGCGTATATAGAAGAGTGAAACCTTACTTATCAGCTTAAGTGTTTGGATTGGAATTGTGAATCCCGACTTGATATGCAACTGGTTAATATTACCTGACACTATACCCTCGGGGGAGTGTTGGAGCAAATGAAGAAAAATATCACTTGCATATATAAAAGAGTGAAACCCTACTTATCAGCTTAAGCTTTTAAGTTAGAATAGTAGATCGAGACTTTCTATAAAAGTGGTTATATATGACAAAAGTTTTAGGTGATAGAGAGTACTGAAATTTCCACACCCACAGCACAGTATATAAACCAAAGATACACACACTTATCACAGCAGAAGGTGGTTAGAAATTGTGCTGTAGCGCAACAACTAAGTTTCACAGAATGCTACAACACATTTTCTAACACCAAACCAAACAAAACGAAAGCAAGCAAAGACACAGAAATTTGTTTACGCAGTTCGGAGCCAACTCTCCTACGTCTGCGAGGCCCACATCCGTGTAATAGCCTTTCCACTAGATCATCATAAGAATTACACAATCAAACTCAACAGACCCTCCTATTGATCAGATTTGTCTACTTACGTGATCAGACACCAAACTCTGTTTGTGTCAAACTAGGCCTAATACACCTTCTCGTTGCTCTGCAATAAGGATGTGTTCTTGACCTTTGCTCAGCCTCACACGATGCACAAGCTGAACAAATCTTCAGAGAAGATTCATGACTGATCTTCTCACTGTAGCCTCACGTGAATATATATGATATGCTCTTCTCTTTGATAGATCAATCATCTGTCAGTACTCTCTTTTAGCCGAATGTGTAAATTCTCGCACGCTTCTCCAAGCTGCAATCTCGTATTTATACTTCTGGATTAGCATGGGATGAAACCCTAACCTTTTGTCCCTAGAACTCTTGCGCATACTACTTCGTTTAATCCAGGGAGGAGTCATTGATTAAACCAGTTACTTGACAGACCAGGATTCCTTTGTTTAGCTTGAGCAGATGTCTTCCAGCGTAGCGTCCTAGCGTCCTTGTCCAGATAGAATGACCAATAATGCTAACAACACAATTCTACTATCACGAGGACACTTCTACACTTAACTAGTGATTGTGTGTTGTCAAAAATAATGCCAACACATATGCTAAATATTAAGGGCCTAACAATCTCCCCCTTTGGCTATTTTTGACAAACACAATCACTTGACACTCAGCCAGGTCTAAACCTCTTCTCCCCCTTTTGGAAAAATATGCCAAAGGCAAAAGTGTGTATTATTTAATGAACTGGAGAAGAGTAATATTTAGACAACTGGATACAAGAGTGTGTACATTTGGCAACTTAGACACCGTAAAAATGGTCATCCTACCTGTGCAAAGACCTGAGTGAAAACCAGGAGACCATGTGCAGAAATAAGGAACAGAACAATCCCATCAAAAATATTGAGTACCAGCAATCCTCAGCATAACATACCCAGATCATAACAAACATAGTAGCAGCAAAAAAATATGAGTTGATGAATCCATGCCAAAACATAAGGGACAGAACAATCCCATCAAAATATTTAGTAGCCAAAAACAGTAGAGTTTTCCCAAAAAAATGAAGAGTTTAAGCATCAAACTTGTGAAGTTCAGCCTCAAAATCTGACTCCTCATTTGATAGGTTATCATCCTTTGCATCTGAGCTTTCCCCTTCGTCCACAGTGGCTTCATCATCTTCACTTTGCTCCCCCTGTGTTGCAGCATCATCTGACTCATCTTGCTTGGACTTCTCCCCCTGAGATTTAGCAACATCATCTGACTCATCTTGCTTTGGCGTTAAAGATCTCCTCCTTCATGTAGATCGTAACTTTCTTCACGCAAGGGAAGCTCCGGGACGCGACGGGAATGCTCTACATCAGCGTATATTATTGGTTTTCCCTCTCAATCGCTCCAAGTAATTCCCAAGGACCTGCTGCGTATTTATAGGCTTCTCTCAACACAATCCTAGTAGGAATAGGATAGTAGAAGTTGGCTTGAACTCTACTTCCTTATTCTTGATCCACAAGTAGCCTAAAGAGTTGGGATTCCTTAGCATGCACAGCTGGAGTTATTATCATGTAATCTCAGTCCCAATAGGTCTCTATATCAGATTGCAGTTTAAATCCCGTGCTCAGACCTCTGATCCCGAACTGTGTGTTGCAGCATCGTGCTGTAGCATCGTTTGCGTCAACCTCAAAAACTGCAGCAGCTCTAGAAGTCTAAATAAAATAAACCTCTCCTAACAAATAGAGGTTTCTACCTAGTAAAACATCTAACAAATATGAGATTCTATTTTGCCAAAAGATTACCCAACACCTTGGAACTAACAATCTCCCCCTTTGGCAATTTTTTGGCAAAATACATCGTGCACCATGCGCATAAAAGATTAAAGCATCTTTCAAGAACTAAGCCTTTTCTCCCCCTTTTTGACACAAAATATGCCAATCTCATTAAGGGTAAAAAAGAAAAGTAATAACAAGTTCTTTTAAGAGCATACAACAATCACAAGCGCAAAACAAAAAAATATCTACCATTACAATCCATGCACGTACTTCCCATTTGAATCTGCTGGAGCTTCATCCTTTTCTGTAATTTACTCCCCCTCAGGATATGCATCATAACCACATCTTGCTTCATCAAGTGCGCTAACTCTTTAAGAGATCACCATGATTGTTTGCAACAAACCATCCAAAGATCAAGCTAATAACTTAAGCTCAACCGCTCTGATACCAAATGAAATTTCCACACCCACAGCACAGTATATAAACCAAAGATACACACACTTATCACAGCAGAAGGTGGTTAGAAATTGTGCTGTAGCGCAACAACTAAGTTTCACAGAATGCTACAACACATTTTCTTACACCAAACCAAACAAAACGAAAGCAAGCAAAGACACAGAAATTTGTTTACGCAGTTCGGAGCCAACTCTCCTACGTCTGCGAGGCCCACATCCGTGTAATAGCCTTTCCACTAGATCATCATAAGAATTACACAATCAAACTCAACAGACCCTCCTATTGATCAGATTTGTCTACTTACGTGATCAGACACCAAACTCTGTTTGTGTCAAACTAGGCCTATTACACCTTCTCGTTGCTCTGCAATAAGGATGTGTTCTTGACCTTTGCTCAGCCTCACACGATGCACAAGCTGAACAAATCTTCAGAGAAGATTCATGACTGATCTTCTCACTGTAGCCTCACGTGAATATATATGATATGCTCTTCTCTTTGATAGATCAATTATCTGTCAGTACTCTCTTTTAGCCGAATGTGTAAATTCTCGCACGCTTCTCCAAGCTGCAATCTCGTATTTATACTTCTGGATTAGCATGGGATGAAACCCTAACCTTTTGTCCCTAGAACTCTTGCGCATACTACTTCGTTTAATCCAGGGAGGAGTCATTGATTAAACCAGTTACTTGACAGACCAGGATTCCTTTGTTTAGCTTGAGCAGATGTCTTCCAGCGTAGCGTCCTTGTCCAGATAGAATGACCAATAATGCTAACAACACAATTCTACTATCACGAGGACACTTCTACACTTAACTAGTGATTGTGTGTTGTCAAAAATAATGCCAACACAAATGCTAAATATTAAGGGCCTAACAAGTACTCCATCCGTTTTACAGTACAAAACACTTCCGTCCTAATTTTTTGCGCATCTATCTAAACACTTCTATCCAACTCAAAATATCCAAATTACACCTCCATGCATTTTGTAGTTTATTACATGTAGAAGTTGTTTTGAAGGTATTTAATAATTTAGACATTTTAGGTAGGATAGAAACAAAGTGTTTTACGAGATGCGCGAAAAATTAAAGCGGAAGTGGGGAAGGAGTATTAAATTGTGAATAATAACTACTCCCTCTGTCCCTGAATATTTGTCTACTTTTGACTTTTTTTTGTCAAAGTTAGTAAACTTTGACCTCAAATTAAATAAAAATGATATTAAGATATAAAAACAATTTTATTAGATTTATTATAGCAAATATTTTTAAAATATTATTTTATCTATCTAATTAATATCCAATATATATTTTATTTAATTATAGGTCTAAAGTTGAAAACAGTTTACTAAAAAAATCAAATTTAGATAAATATTCAGGTTCGGAAATAGTACAATACATGTAAAATGGCAACCGATATTATTTATGGACAGAAAGGAGTATATGTTTGCTTTAAGCAAGTTGAATTTTGTTTATTACATACTACTTTTTTGTATATGCTCCAAACGCTGGTTGCTTTGCTCTTCATTTTTGACTTTTATAATTATATGGGTGCTTTCCCATGTTCGTTTAATTTGGATAAGTTTCACCCCCCTTTAGTCCCCGTGCATGCATGTGTTTTTTTAAAGCTCCCCCCTCTCAAATACTCACCGTATATATTTTATTTAATTATTGGTTAAAGGTTGAACATTATTGTATGCAAAAAGTCAAAAGCGATCAAATACTCATAGACGAAGCTAGTATTCCGTACTTACTATTAATCTAGACATCACACTCTACGTATTTTACCCATTACATCCGCGTTAAAATCATAAAGTTAACCATCATATAATATATACGCTCATTATTTCTCTCAATAATCCAAATAGAAATGGTTTTCAAAACAGAGGAGTATGAGTTAATACTATGTAATTGATTGGGGTAAATATGAAATTTTAAGTGTAAGAGGAAATTTTTTATACGGATTAAAAAAGACAGAAAAAATATACTCCTTCCGTCCCAAAAAGATTGATACATATTGACTTTTTGGGAAATTAAGGGAAAGATATTTTGGTGTTGACTTTTCAAAAATACCTTTAATGTGATGGGTAAAAGTAGGATGTGATGGATAGATTATTAGGAAAAAGGTATGGTGTGATAGGTAGGGTATGAAAAAGTAAGGGGTAAAAGTGGTTTTTTAATATAAATATAATGGACTTTATGGGACGCAGTTTTTTCGAAACGTGTCGGACTTTTTGGGACGGAGGGAGTATTTCTTTTTGGGATAATTAAAGGAGTGACTATAAGGTTGCTTGGGTGTCTTCCAACTAAATTAAAGTATGAATTAATTTTAAAGTATCTATTGACCAGGCCGGAATTCGTAGAGCAACAACCAATATAAGGATAAATTTTTATAATATACTTTTATTTTATCACTAATCTATTTTTTTATTGCTTTAAAAAAATATTCTAAAATTTTACAGTACGTATATTTCAAGAAATTTGGCATTTTTCTACTATTCATTAATAAACGTACCAAGTAACACGTAAAGAACATTTCTAGGCAGGAGTCCAAAAAAGTCTATAAATTCATGTGCAATTGACTTCTACGCTTTTGTGAAATTCATAAAAGTTCACTATGAACTTAGGAGTATAAAATAATAAATAGCATTCTGATATTATAATTATTTTTATTTTAAAAAGTCTACACAAGTTTAATTAAAATCATAGCATTGATTAACGAAACTAGCTAGGCCTCCTAAATCTCCAGCCTGTCTTTTAGTTTCTTTTTTCCTTCTATTTCAACCTAATTTCTACATGTATTTGAAATTTCAAATAAGTTGAACAATATAATATGAACACCTTATATACTCGTAGATGATTGACTATCATTAATGTCAACTTCTTTATGCATGAGAGAAGTAAGGAAGTGCCCTTCTTGTGCATGGCATACCCTTAGCTAGGACCTCTTTGGTTTATGAGGGGAAGGAAGGGGAAAAAAAGAAAAATGTACTCCCTTCTTCCAAAAAAGATTATCAAATTTGATCTTTTGTTATCAAGTTATCTAAAACTATGACCATAAATTATGAAAAAAATATTTAGCTATGATGTAAATTTAGTAAAATTAGATTTATTTTAGAATATATATAATTTTGATATATAAAACTTTTATAACATTTAAATATATAAAACTGTTAGTAAATCGTGATCAATACTTGAATTTTTTGAAATACCTGCATTGACTTGCATTGACTTTCAGATTGTATACAACTCAGAGAGAATTTGAAGAACAAAATATGAAAAATGTCATGATAATTTTGAACTTGTATCTTAGGTTAGACCAATCTTATGATCGATTCTATGAACGTAGTGAAGAACGATCGAGAACAACCATTTGGTGCCTTTTCTCTAATACTCGCATCTATTCAGCAAAATTTTCTATGAGGATGCCCTTCAGATTTCCTTATGTACCCAAATCCAAAAATACACCCAGCACTTCGACACTTCGACCCCGACCAGGGACTTTGCCCCTTGGACACCATTGGGATTACTGCTCCTTGAATCCCACTCCGAGGGTGCTGTCTTCTTGGAACCCCCCATTAAATTATACGGGAAAAACGGCGTTTTTATCAAAACAAACTCAATAAAGCTAAGTATGCACTCTGCTCACCGAACTTCTTATTCCAATTGCACTAAAATATGTAACAACTGCTAGATTTTTATGGGATTTAAGGAGTATCTTTCTCTTCATTTGGCTCAAAATTTGGAAGGGAAAGAGATCCAAAATATTCTTATCAATAATGTCCCTCTCGTGAGGTAGTCCCCGCAGCATTTTTTAATTGATTAGTAGTATATAAAAATAAAATACATAACAATTTAGTTCCATTCCAATTTTAATTACATTTTTTTCTCTCTTCTCGATAACTTTTAGTTATTTGTGTATTTTTATTGATTATTTGATAAAATAAAATATTCTTTTTACCTCTTGTGACTTGTTTTGTAGAATTTTTGACTTAATTATTTAATTTATAATTTTTATTTTTTATCGATATACCAACTTGTAAATAATATGATTTCAAAAGATTAGAGATTTTGTCTCTTAAATCCCAATTTGCAATCAAATTTTAGACGCAGGGAGCATTTCTTTGTAATTTTTTTTTTGTAGTGAAAGATAAAGGGAGGATATCATATCCTCCATTTATGATTATATTATTTGAGATAACTAAAAAAATGGGTTTGATTTGACATAAAAATGGCATTGTTACTATGACACATGCACCCAACACAATTAAATTAAAGTATGGTAACAAAATTCAAAACACACAATCATTTCCATTGTTTCACCTCAAAATTAACCAAAGTGGTGCAAAAAAAAGAAAAGAAAAGGCAGTCAACAAATGGTCAAAGTGAGCCTTCCCTTATAAAGAAGTGGGGCGGCCACATGGGAGTTGGGAGTGGACTGCCACACAGCTGACTTTTTTTTTTTTTCTCTTTTTTATTTTTTTATTTTAAAGAAAAACTCAAAAGCTTAAACCACCGAAAGCGGT